GGACCGAGTGGCAATCAAGGCATGGTGACAAAGACTACCTCAAACGGCTGAGGAACACATTCGTTCTCTATTGTCAATACACTCGCCATCTGTTGTCAGGTTATTTCCGTAATTGTTGTAGATAATAATGTATTTATACAATATTTCAATATAATTATAAACTGTTATTTCAATAACAAATGGATATAAGGACAAACTTATCTTATACATCTTATATTTATATGTTTTCCTTGTTAAAATAACAAGTATTATAATACTTAGCCATTTTGTGAGGTGCACTTTAAGCACTTGTATATCTTAGTAAGTACTACAATTCTTATTATTCTTGACCAGATAGTCAAGACTTTTTAATAGCTTTCTTAGCTTCTTATTACCTTCCTAAAACCCCTAGGTACACAATAAGCTCTTATACATAATGTAGAAAATATATATAATTTATATACATATAAGCTAATACAAAGTTTGAGATATTTTCCTGATGACTCCGACAGCGATAGAACTCCACAGTTAGCCTATGCAGAGCGATCTCTTGGTAGTAACCTTGATGAAATTATTGCAAAATGAGGTAAGTAAAGCATTTTTCCATCAATAAACTTACAGTTTATCTATTGGCTACAATCTTAGTTGCAGAACAGTTGGAAAAAAAATTGTTGGAGAAGAGCGATGCTGAGAAGAGGCGAGGCTCACAGGATGCAACTAGATCGAGGACCTGATTGAAGGTCTTTGGGGGCGGCGTGGGCAGCTCATGGATAATAAATGAGTGATACAGTAGAGGATACATTCAAGTTAGCATAGCCACTAGCTGATAGTGTATCCATTTCTCTGTAGCCATTGATAAATGAATTTGATAATGAGGATTATGAACCAGTTGTATCATGAAAAAGTCTTAACAGTTGTATTAGATTATAACCCAGTATATTTTTTACTTTTTGTAAATTTTGTGAAAGTGATAATATTCTAAATAGGCCTTTTCACAAGTCAATTATAATTTAGTACAAGTATAATGAGAATCTAGAACAGTAATTGAAATTGCTGATATTAATTATGATTGTACATATTATCAAAATATACAAGTGATTATAACATATCTCCCAAAATAAATAATGTTAGAATATACTTATTTATTTTTGACAGTATAGTATCCCTCTTACAACATATACAAGTCATTGCAGGTATTTGAATAGCTTATTTTGGCTTTGCTCACAATTTTGTGTTAAATAATTAATAACATATAATTATATTTAATTATAGAATACAAAAAGATGGTAAATAATACATTATTTCTATGATCCCAATCCCTGCACCACCAGCAGCCTCTGCCTTGTTCTTTCGCGAGCGGAATTCACGTCAATAAGGGATTGATGTGTTCTTGGGCCGTTCGATGTAGTCTTCGTCACCAGGCCTTGATCGTTGCTCAGTCCCTGCAAGTTGAATTGCGTACACGTGTGAGTTGTGAGGTCAAGCAGGTTGTGGTGGGTGAGGCTGTGCCTGTGAGACAGGTTTGGAGTGATTAACGAGTGACAATAAGAAAGAAAAGATGGACACACGGCGACGGTGTGCAGCGAGTGTGAGTGGTACATGCAGATTGAGATCCAGAGCGTTGAACGAGCTGACTCGGACTGCAGACGAAACCGTGTCTGTCCGTGTGCACTGTATGGTTTATCTATGGTGTCTAATGGGAGGTGCAGTAAGCTGAGTCGTCGATTGCAAAGTGTATCTCTGGGACGTTCCGGCTCGAAAGGTGAAGGTGAAGTGGAAGGCGGACAGACTCGGCTCAGGAGGGGAGTGGTGGGACACTGCTTCCGTTCGAAATGGTGTCATGTACGGTACTGGGGAATGTAAATGCACGCGGTGTGAGCCCATCGAGAGTGATGTCAAGCACATAATGGGTGGGGAAGGAAAGTGTGTGTGAGGTCGGAGAGAGGGTTGCACCTTGAAAATGGTGGTACATGGACATTGTCGAGAGCGTGTGCTCGTCGAGTGGTGCTTGCACTGCAGAGGGGAAGAAGTACGCGAATGCATGGAATTATTGAAGAAGTCGTTCGACATTGGTCAGCAATGCAGATGCGCAGATGCAAATGCAAAAAAGAAGGCAAGTGTAATAAAAAAGAGGACAACGAAGGAGAGGCAACGCAAGAGGCAGAGCGAGGAGCAGGAGGGATGAAAGGGAGACAAGTTGGGAGGAGAGGGATGAGCAACTATTGTGCGGGCGAATTATTATGAAGTGGACCGGCTGCTTACACTTTACGCTGAAGGACAGCATAGCCAGCTGGGTCGTGTTGTCACAGGATCTGAGGCTCAGCACAGGCATTGCAACAGCAGATTGGAGAGACGAGTTGCAGTGGTGTTTATTGTCTGTGTTGTTGCACTCAGAGTACCTGCTGGAGGACTGGGCTGGAGAGAACGAAAGCAACGACATAGTGTCAGGGCCGAGGGTTAGACTTAGAGAGATGGTGGAGGTCAGAGAGCAAGAGTGACAGCTGTAAGTGCGTCAGACTCATTATATGCCCCCGACCTTCAGCACATGATTACGTAATCAATCTTCGTGATAGCACATGTAGTTCCTCTCACATTTCACTAAGTCAAAATAAAGTACTTTTCCTAAGAAAATAAATATTCCCCTCCCCCAATCCTAACTAAAACCCAACTTAACACCTAAGCCTAACAGCCCAAACTTATCCTAAACCTAATTGGGGTGGCAGAGCCCCCCCAAATCCCCCTCCTAACTTCTCACTCTGTTCATGACAAGGGCCACAGTATGCTAGAATTACATAAGTGGTCAGTCAGGGTCATCCCTAATTGGGCTGTGGGATTCAGGGCCTGGATGTAAAAAGTCAAGAGTCTATCCAACCTGTAAAACAACTCAAATATCATATTTAGATATAAAATAAAAGCCTTTATTTACTTTAAATCACAGTAAAAAGTAATCTGACAAGTATATATCTTTCTAAACACACTAATATAACTGTTATAAGTACCTGAACACCTTATACAAATAATATAAACTCTTTTACAAAGTGAATATTGGCCTATCATCAAAATTAAAATATAGGTATAATACTTAAGCTTATAATATAAGGTTATTATAATGCACTTAATGGATTGTATTCACCCACAGTGCTTACAGAATGTTTATATACATTAATATGTCTTGTTTTAGCATTATAATTACTTTCTAACCCTTACAGTTACATTATAATGTATATAAAATGTTCATAATATATTAAATATACTGTAATCCATTATATTAGATCCGACTTTTTCCCGATGAACCTTGCAGTCAGCTTACCAATTGTGAACTTAATGACTGGCTGGGTCAGGAGGGTAAGTACTGTATTTTGCCATCAATGAATATGCAGCTTATCTACTAGCCACCATATAAGCTGATTTTATTTAAATCATTTTTTCTCAGAACCTCGTCTAATAGAGTATTAAAAATTCAATGTCCTTCGAAAGATTTAATATAAAAATCATTATCTTAAAATGAAGGAGGAGAGGGAAGCTAAGAAGAAGCAAAGCTCACAGGATGTAACAGGATCAGGGAGCTGACTGAAGGATCTTTGGGCAATGATCATGTACGACCAGGCAGCTCATGGATAAAAAATGAGTGACACAATAGAATAGACTACTACTAGTAGCTGATGTCGCGTCCATTTCTCCGTGGTCTTTAACAAACGAATTTGATAATGAGAAAGTTGAAGCGGTTTTGTAACGTTTTAAGGAGGCTTCGATACTTGTGTCAAAGATAGTCATAAACCCGAAAGTATTAATACTTCATGTCAAACATAAGCCTTCGAATTGCTTCGAGTCAGTTCTGCCTACGCATGCTGTTGAAGATGTCCACCTCTAATTTAAATATAGAATTTAGACATATTGTGCGAGAAAGTACAGGCGTTGTATTGGGACTTCAAGGGATGCATACACAACAACCAACGATCCCGAGCCGCAGCCTACTGCATACTACTACATGCAATCTTGGTCTCGTATGTTGGTAACGTCCATTCATGAGAAGTTTACAACACTCAAGTTTCGTATTTGCTTTCAAAATTCACGAACTAAACCCGGATTTAATCCTGCATTTTTAACCCGAGGAAAAGCCGTTTCGGGGACGGGAAAGCATATAATACTAGAAGGGCGCTACTGATAGTTTATACAGTTCGAAGGGTCATGAAGCTTTGACTGAATTGTCTTGGACAGTTATTTCGACCTAAACTCGCATCGAGAACATTATCATGTATGAATCATTGGGAACACGCGAATGTCAAACTGCGCGAGAACGAAGGGTTATTTCGAGGATGCGGCATAACGGAAAAGAAAAACACCCAAAGAAAAGCTTGTATTGCATTGAAGCCCAAGGAAAACAAATACACATAAGCATTAAAACTAACGAATACGGCGCCCTCAGAACCCTGCAACGATTCCGTTGTAGGCGGCCTTCTTTTGCATATTCTAGAAAATTTATTAAATATGAGTTCGAGGAAGGTGTGTATGTAGCGATGATGCTTACCTGGTCCCATGGGCAGGCAGCACCCTGGCCACTGAAGGTGTTCGGTACCCACGAGTACTGAAACGCGTGTTGTAAGTCCAATATTGAGATTTCTCGACGAGACGGAAACTAACCTTGTCTGAGAAGTCCCAAACAGTGACACCGATACAGCCAGCAACGGAGTTGCATTGTTGAATAACGCTTTGGTAGTCCCGCTGTTGCTGCGCGAGGTTCGCCGATGAAGCAGGAAGAGGCATACGGATATCCAACTCTGTGATGGCGACCTACACGAAATGTGAGGCATTGTCTACATACTACTTAACACTCGAACAACGTACCTCAACACCGAGAGCTGCGACCTGTGACATCACCGATGACAGCGAAGTCGGCACTTCACCAACGATGAAGTGGCCTTGGAAACCGACACCGTCGAGCGGTACACCAGCAGACTTCAAAGACTTGACGAGGTTGATCATAGCCGTTGCCTTCGCACCTGGAATGATTCAACATCGTAAGAAAGGGAGAATGAATATTTAAAGCAGAATGCGTACCGGTGTATTCAATGTTGTAGTCATTAATGTAACTGATTATAACACTATGAGCTTGATCCACTGCTATGGGTTATTGGCTTACAGCTTGGCACCAGAGTCGGCCCCGCGTGCGGCTTGAAGACCGATCTGGACGTAGCTTTGACCCAAAGTATTGTAGAAGACGTCTGAACGCCAGGTACCATCATCGTTGCTACGATAAATCGTTTTCAATAAGTCAAAAAGCAAATCAGTATCGAGTTATACTCACAAAGGCTCGTTGATGACATCCCACGCGTCTGTGGATTGACCGATAAGGAATCAGTGGAAGAGCTTAATTATAGACGGGAACAATACGAACAACTACGAAATAGGTAAGTACTGCATGCAGGTCCCCGAACAAATTGGACGGCTCACATTTCTCCCTTGAAGTGACCAACAAGCGTCGAGCAGTGAGTCTGGATGACTGACGTCAAGGTGGCAGAGTTGAAGCCGCTGTTTGAAACCCAGCTTGGTAGCTGGTTGTACCAGACGCAGTTGTGTCCTATCAGGTAAATTATTGGTATGCAGAAGAAAAACGGATGGGATATAAACTAGAGACTAACCGCGCACGATTTGACCGTTGGCCTTTGCCTCGGCGACAAGTGCGTCACCACCGGCAAAGTTAAAGCTACCACGTGAGGGTTCGGTTGTGTCCTGATTTGACAGCGTTCAAAATAGCCCGCACTTCGAATGCACGGTGACATACCCATTTCATGCTGTTCAACGGTGTGAGCTGTCCGAATTCGCCCTTTGTCGTCAAAACGGCCGCGTATGCAGCGTCACTCTGGAACTCAGATGCATCTGTTGCAGTACCAAAGTACTTCTTCCCAGCTCCCTTAGCAATGGTATCGAGTCCACCAGTTGCGCTGCCTCCGGAAGCAGTTGATGTCGGTGTTCCAGCAGGCTGTGAACTTGACGGCGGTGGCGGAGGCGGTGCATTTGTTGATGGGATACATTGAGAATAGTAGGGGTTAGATGTCACGCAACTAGTGCCAGACACGCAAGTCGTTGGGCCAGTCCATCCAATACCACCGCCTACACGAGGGTCTTGAACACTGGACATTACTCAAGGTTTCTTTCGGATACTCACATTGTCCCCAAACCTGTTGTTGTGCAACCGCAAGCGGCACAAGAGAGAGCAGAGAAAGAAACGCAGTTGAGAATTTCATCGCGCGAGAGCAGGTAGCTGACTTCAACCGAGGAATAGGTTATGTCTGAGCTGTCGACTTGCACCACTTGGAGCATTTATACAAGACGTTCGGTTCTTCATCGCCAAAACCGTGAATCGTATGGCAGTCTGCGGTACCGCCAGCATACAAGAGCTGCGACGTATTCGCCGAGAATAACGTGTCCAAGTCTTTTGCAAGAGACTTTTGCTGATGTTTCCGGTCGGCCCCGCGTCACAAGACCTTGCTGGGGCAGTTTTGCGGAAAGATGCCCTTATTTCGGAAACGAGGTCAATGATCCGTCATGACACTAGAGCTTCTACTCCAGGGGGTCTGGCCAGAGGAAGACAGCGTGCAAAGAAGCCGTCGCAAAAATGATTAAGCGCGAGGCCACACAATCCTAAAAATTAATAGACTAAATACCTCTCGGCCCCGCCTTGTCGCATATCTCCGGGCCCTCAAAGCGAGTTCTGTTCCAAACAGTAACGTTAGAAAGAATAAACTAATCCTCGCAGTCCTTCAAAAAACAAATGAGCCGACTACGGGGAAACGACTGTGCACCTGGTTTTCTCCCTCGAAGATGAAGTCGATTCCGTCATCGTGTTCCAAGACCTTGGCTTGTGTTGTCCTCGCCGTCGGGATCGTTCTATTTTTCCGGATCTTTCGGTAAATTATCGGCAGAGCGTATACTTGCGTCTCGCAAAAGCGATTGTCATCAAAACACGAAAACCTCGACGTGATCAAAAGATGAATTGAGCTCGCATGTAGACCTCCGATTCGGGCATCAACACCAATGATCATCTACAAAGCAATGTACGGCGTCATACGGTGCGGATCGTAAGGAGCCTATAGGTTTCTAGCACAGTGACTAAAGGCCGTGCATGGAAACACTAGAGTGTACTGCTCGCAGGATTTCATGACACGCGACATGGTGACGGAGAGGTGTGCCTGCGTGTGCTGATCCCTTTTAAAGCTTTGGTCATGTTCGTAGCATGTGAGCATGATCCAGAATCAACTGCCAAGGTTCCCTAGAAATCACAATGTACTCATTAGTCAATAAACGACATACGGTAGGAAACTCACAAGAACGTCGCTCGAGTGGTGACTATCATAAGCTCACAAGTTATAGAAACATGGAGACTCCGTCTTTGCTCAGTAGATTTATGGTGCAACTTGGCCTCAATAGAAAACAACCGTCCCTGATCCGTGATCGTAAATTTTGTATCACGTGATCCATGCGATTTTTCACACTTGACTTGAAAGTGATTGCTTACCAAATACTTATAGACGAGTTCCAATGCTTATACGCGATAAGCCCTCCTCTGTGGAACCGCTCGAGATACCACAGTGTCAAGGTTAAGTTGCATTCGCTATTGATTCATAAATGCGCCATCCCCATGTAACACACTCCTTACTTCTTTTACTTTTAATCCCTCCTCCCTTTGTTTAGTGCCTGGTGCCATGAGCAATCTTCTTTGCATAGCCACCATTAGATAAATCAATCATAACCTTTGGATAATCAGAAAGGTGTTCTTCTCCCGATCTTGATCTGATTAATGCTTTTCACTTTCAACAGTGTCGTACTTCACTGCTCTACCCTAAACTTTTTGTCTGCCTCGAGGTCCGCCATTTTCATCAAGATGTCGTGTACATTTAAGCAAGCTCGATGACAACACAATACCGACATGCACCATGCATAAATTTCTGCGATGCTTTCCTCCTATCTATTGTATTGTATTCTGCAGCTTCCTCAGATCTTGTCGCGGCCAGTACAGCTACTTTTCTCCTGGGCTCAGTTTGTATAATGCAACGGATCCGATAATACAATGGACTCCTTCTCTCAACGACTCCTCCACTTGGTCACCTATCAATGCAGGTGGATTTAGTGGCGTGCAGACGACTAGCAACACCGCAACAGCGAACTTTACGCTTCAAGGTTTGTTTTGACGTTGCGTATTTCTCTGTCTTATCCGACCGACATGATTTCCTTTATAGGCGCAGGACTGACGATCTTCACCGTTGATCAGCCTAATTTCAATTCGATCCTTGTGACGGACGACAGCAAGCAGTTTCGCGTCAACCTTTCATATGGGCAGCTTCAATCCTGGTGGGGCGAATCCTGGCAGGACGTAAAGATGACCCAGATATCCATTGGCGATACAGGAGATTCCTCGTCAAAAAGCCATTCAATTGTAATCCAGGAAGACACAACCCCCGGCATGAATAACACTGGATGGAATTTACTGGGAATTAGGTACGTGCACGTCTCCTTGACTGAAAAGATTGAAGCTTATTTTCTTTAGTATTGCACCAGCCTTCACTGTCGCCACCTCAATGTCGCCTAGCGCGGCAACGCACGCTACCACACAAGGATCGGCTCCGCCAGGAGCACCAAAACAGACCAATGGGTTGTCCGCAAGAAGAAAGGTCGGAATGGCGGTTGGACTGGCTTTTGGAACGTTGTCTGGAGTTTCTCTAACAGGACTACTCTTTGTCTGTTTACGACGTCGCCAGTGCGAGCGGGCATCCTTTGCTGCACTTCCTGATCCATTGATCATCCCTCCGACTGCACCACGCTTCTCTCGGCCACAATTTAGGCGAATAGACTGGGAACGTATTCCACACCTCATAGTTCCATCAACAGCGATGGCCCGTGCTCCATCCACTCGTTCCACGGACATACTAGCCGTTCTTCCACCTGCAGTGACTCGTGAAATGGCACGAGAAAAGGTTGTTAATCCTGAAAGCAGCCGAGGCTCTAATTGGCGATGTTCAAGTTCCAGTACACTTGTATCATGAACTAGGGTTGCAAGTCTCTGGTATTTATAATCCTTTCCTTGAATTATTAAGAGTCACCTTTCTTACGTGCACTCTTCCCAGGATCATGGAAATTGTATTCAGAAGTACTCGCTTTATCTTACCCATACCTCAGACTGCACTGCAATCCTGAAACAATCTATCTATTTAATTTGTTTGCTACTATTCCAACAAAAGCTTTGCTGACAAAATACGGGATTTTAATTATTTTATATCACTGCAGCTAGATTATGTTACATATAAATGTGAACTATTTTCAGGCCCTTGAATTGCACTGCTTGTCAAACCCGACAGAGGTTTACCGCAGTCCGACTCCAGCTATGCTATTGAGACAAAAATGGTTTATCACGTGGTCACGAGAAAATGACGAGCCATCGCGATTTGGTCTCATCTCAGAACGTTTGAAACTTCAAACAGCTGACTTGATCTAGGCGTAAAGGCGAATAGTTAGGGAGGGTTCTGATTAATGTGGCGTGGTAAGTCTTCCCTCACTTAAATAGTGTTTCTAGGTTACATTCCACGTCGAATATATGTGCCATTTCCAACTTTCCCAAACATACTACGTGCATCTTTCTCTGGCAGCTATTTTCCCTCCTTGCTTTAGGGCTTGGTGTCATGGAGTGGTCCTTTTGCCCGGTCATCAGTAAATAAATCATGGCCCCGGATATCAGATTGAAAGCACTCCCCCAATCTTGATTTGATGGATACTGCTGATTTAAAAAGTGCAACGCTTCACTGGTCTCTGCTAGGCATTGTCTGCCTTGGTGCTGACTGCAGGTCAGCCATCTTCCTACAAGACCTTACAGATACAGTAGCAAGAGCAAGTCTACTGGTCTACTGGTGGACATACGTCATGTGGAAAATTCTGTGTTGCTCTTGTCTTATTTGCAGTATTGTATCCTGTAACTTTCTCCTATCCTGTCACGCCAGCAACAGCACTCTGCCTACTGAGCTCACCCTCTACAACACAACAGACTCGATAATACAGTGGAATCCTTCACTAAATGATTCTAGCACTTGGTCACCTGTCAGTGCTGCTGCATTCAGTAGTGTACAACCAATCAGCAACACCTCAACAGTAAGCTTTACAATTCAGGGTATACTGATATACTATTATTCTCTGCCTGTTCTGATACAACTTGTACTGTAGGTGCAAAAGTGGCAATCCTCACTCTTGATCAGCCTAATTTCAATTCGGTCCTTGTAACAATTGATAACCATCAGTTCTGCTGGCCCCTCTCTAATGAGCACTTTCAGTCCTGGCAGGATGTAACAATAACCTCAATACCTGTCAACACTACTATAACAGGGAACCGTTCAATTGTGATCCAGGAGGGTACAGCTCCTGGCACAAATTATACTGAATGGAATTTATTAGGAATTAGGTATGTATGCTTCCCTGAGCAAAGGGTCTAAAAACTTATTTTCTTTAGTATTATGCCAATTTTCAGTAGCATCTCTTCAGTACAACCCTCAGAGACACTACCTGTGATTCTACAAGCACAAGCATCTGTAATTGCACTTGCACAAGAGCAAACCAACAGATTATCTGCAGGAGGAAAAGCTGGTGTAGTGATCAGAACATTGTCTAGTGTTTCTCTTGCTGGATTGCTTTTTGTCTGTTTAAGGCAGTACTAGCAGGAATCCTCTGACTGTCAGCAACAGCATAGAGGGGACCCGAAGGCTCAGCAAGGGGACCCAGGCTACAACT